TCTGATGGACATAGGTCGGTAACGCGTTCCTTTTATTTTGATGTGACGTAGGTCGGTATGCGTTCCTTTTCTTTAGATGCGACGTAGGTCCTTAACGCGTTACTTTTATATTGATGTAACGTAGGTCGGTAACGCGTTCCTTTTGTTTTGATGCAACATAGGTGGGTAACGGGTTCCCTTATTTTGATGTGACGTAGGTCAGTAGCGCGTTACTTTTATATTGATGTGACGTAGGTCGGTAACGCGTTCCTTTTATTTTGATGTGACCTAGGTCGGTAACGCGTTCCTTTTATATTGATGTAACGTAAGTCGCTAACGCGTTCCTTTTATTTTGATGTGACGTAGGTCGGTAACGCGTTCCTTTTATTTTGATGTGACGTAGGTCGGTATGCGTTCCTTTTCTTTAGATGCGACGTAGGTCCTTAACGCGTTACTTTTATATTGATGTAACGTAGGTCGGTAACGCGTTCCTTTTCTTTTGATGTGACGCAGGTCGGTAACGCGTTACTTTTATTTTGATCTAACGTAGGTCGGTAACGCGTTCCTTTTATTTTGATGCAACATAGGTGGGTAACGGGTTCCCTTATTTTGATGTGACGTAGGTCAGTAGCGCGTTACTTTTATTTTGATGTGACATAGGTCGGTAACGCGTTCCTTTTATTTTGATGTGACCTAGGTCGGTAACGCGTTCCTTTTATTGTGATGTGACGTAGGTCGCTAACACGTTCCTTTTATTTTGATGGACGTAGGTCGGTAACGCGTTACTTTTATTTTGATGGACGTAGGTCGGTAACGCGTTCCTTTTATTTTGATATGACGTAGGTCGGTAGCGCGTTGCTTTTATTTTGATGTAACATAGGTCGATAACGGGTTCCCTTATTTTGATGTTACGTAGATCGGTAACGCGTTCTTTTTAATTTGATGTGACGTAGGTCAGTAACGCGTTCCTTTTATTTTGATGTGACGTAGGTCGGTAACCCGTTCCTTTTACTGTGTTGGGACGTAGGTCGATAACGCCTTCCTTTTCTTTTGATGTGACGTAGGTCGGTAACACGTTACTTTTATTTTGATGTAACGTAGGTCGGTAACGCGTTCCTTTTATTTTGATGCAACGTAGGTCGGTAACGCGTTCCATTTATTTTTATGTAACATAGGTCGGTAACGGGTTCCCTTATTTTGATGTGACATAGGTCAGTAGCGCGTTCCTTTTGTTTTGATGTGACCTAAGTCGGTAACGCGTTCCTTTTATTTTGATGTGACCTAGGTCGGTAACGTGTTCCTTTTATTGTGATGTGACGTAGGTTGCTAACGCGCTGCTTTTATTTTGATGGATGTAGGTCGGTAACGCGTTACTTTTATTTCGATGTGATGTAAGTCGGTAACGTGTTCCTTGTGATGTAACGTAGGTCGGTAACGCGTTGCTTTTTTTGTTATCTAACATAAGTCGCTAACGCGTTCCTTTTATTTTGATGTGACGCAGGTCAGTAACGTGTTTCTTTTATTTCGATGTAACGTAGCCGGTAGCGGGTTCCTTCAATTTTGAAGGAATGTATTTCGCTACTTTTTTTCAGTAACGCCTACGACACTGCAGCAGAAGGACCCCTTCAGCTGCTCGTACGATTACGCGTGGATGGTCCTCATTGTGAGGTATGCTGCGCTGCGAAGTTACTTTCAACGTACACGTAGACTATAAGGTTAGAGAAAACGATATGATAGGCAGGAGATAACACGGCGTACACCTGAAAGGGCATCTACGCCGTGTTATTTTTTGTCCGTAATCTCGTCTCCTGTAACCTTACAGTTTGTGTGTATGTCCCATGTAACTTCTCAACGCAGTACACGTCTGTCGAACCAGCTAACCAAAATCCAAGCACTGGATAATCCTCGTTGCCGAGCCCCACCCATGCCAGGAGCAATGGTGGGAATGTAGTCTCCAACAATATAAAAGACCCACTCAACGATGCAGTTGCAGTCGGCTGCGCTGAATTTCCTGAGGCTGAGCCCACATTGCTTACGAAGAGGAAATCAATGACCCTGTGTACTATTGTCCCCCTAGAAACAGAGTGCCTCGTGCAGGCAGGTAGCCGGGGGGGGGGGGGGGGGGGGGGGGCATGGGGATATGGGGAGGAAGGGCCCGAACCCCATGCCTCTTCCCCCCCCCCCCCCCCCCCACCCGAACTCTTTCATTTTGCTGGGGAGTCCTCTCCTTCATCCCCCTCATACAGCATTTTGTCAAGGGCGGCCCCACCCCCCCCCCCCCCCCCCCGAATCAAAATCCTGGCTACGCGCTGGCCTCTGGCCAACATATGCTTGGCACTACCGCATAAACTGACTCGGCGCGACTAGGTCTTTCATATTGTGGGAGGATGTACATTGTACATTTTTTTCTTTTTTTCTTTTCCTCAATCCGTACATTGTGTTACACAGCATAATATTGGGAGATTTCAAAGAAATGAGTGCAGTCTGAGGGAAGGAAGGTGGGTTTACTTATTCACTGATCAGCCGAGGTTGGTCCCACCTGGGCCTGCCCGCACTATGCCCACACTACGCCAACGAGGGACCAACGTTACGTGAATTGTGTAGGCGCTGCGCCAGCCCACATCAACCACTGCGGTCCACATGGGCCTCACATCATGTTTTTTTTTTCTTCAATAAGCTCCTTAATAAACAAATGAACGCTTTGCACAGGGTACGTCCCGTAAGGACCAACACATTGGGCACGACTTTCAAAACTTTAGTTCCAAAACGTGCACACTCAAGTTCGGAACACGAACGTAGTAATTTGAATGTAGTTTTATGCAAATTTTGTTTGAGAGCTTGACTTGGAGGTGATAAGATATTAAAATTAAGCAAAAAATGGCAGCCGCGCATTTTCTATGTGCTATACCTAGGGTTATGAGTTTTCGGTTTAAACCAATAAAAGTAAGTCGAATCCATTCTCTAAAATTCTGTTTTCACCGAAAATGGTCAGTTCATTAGGGTCCGTAGAGATGGGCGGGGGAGGGTGGGGGAGGGGAGAGATGGCGTTTCAAGGTTCGACATTGTGTGGCCTCTTCGTGATTGCCCTCTTCCAAGGTTCAACATGCTACAAAAAAGGTCTTGGGTTGTCCTTCGTGGGACATCTGTGTCCATTCTGTGATCGGACGCCAGTCTGGCCAGTTCCTTGTCCTAAAAAAAAAGTTCGAATGTGGGCTAGTATAAGGTTTTTAGCTTCATGCAAGATCTGCAGCCAGAGATTAGTGAGTACATGAAATTTATTGTGCTTCAAATCGTCGCACCGTGTCTCTTTTGGTAGACACATTTGGTTGATTGGCTGATTTTGGATCAAGCAGCGCTTCATCGCCTCAGCCTGCCAGTGCTCACGTTGAGAGGACATTCTCGAAGCCCAGGGTCATTAACAGGAAAGAATGAGTGTGGATCAACGAGGTGAATTTGGGAAAGTACATATGTGTTTACTATCATAAGATCACGTAATCCTGATGTACAGAGGGTGAAGTTTCAAGTTTTTGGGCACGGACTTGTTTGTACTTTGTGTTTTTTTTACAGTTGCATACATTTGTTAAATAAAATGTCGATGTTTTTTTTTTTTTTTTAATCTATTTGTGCCATTATTTCTTAAAGGATCACAAATATCAGAGTTACAAGAATCATCTGATCCGGTGTCCAATAATGTTTCTTTCATATTCACCGAAAAAAAAACGGTAAACTTTTGTGGGCATAACTATACACCGAAAAAAAAAAACACGAAAATGTAATCTTAAAGTAAACACTGAAAAAAGTATGCCGAATTTTGAAAAAATAAAAAAAAAACGAAAACGCGGAACCCTAGCTATACCGGATGTTCCACGTCTGCACACGTGAGCTTGCTCCCAGGTGGTCATGGTTCATGTATTTCGTTAATAGTTGGCGTTTTTGCGTTCAGCAAGTCACCCAAAAATGGACTCGTAATCCAGTGTGCACACGACAAACAGGCTGGTATAGGACATTGGAAATGCACGGAGTCAGATTTTGTTTTATTTTTAATATTTCACTACCTGCGAGTTCCGCTCTAAAAATAAGCATAAAATCTTCTTGCAAAATTATGTTCGCGTGCCTATTTCTCGTACGCAAGTTTAGAATTCAAATTCACAAGGCGTTCCAAATGTATTGGTTCTTACATCCGCACACTGATTCTTAAGTTTCAATTAGAAACTTGCTTTGAGTTACTCGCATAGTTTATAAAAATGCAGGACTGGTTCACACGGGTGGCTGGAACGCGCCTTAGATGCCACATGGGCATCATCGCCGTTGCCTCCTTCCCAGCACCAGTGATGCTGCGTGTGTGACATCACACCCACGTTGTGGCAACATTTCGTTTCGTGTGATACAGCCTCCAAGGTGAGTGCGCTCGGCTTTATAACGTCACCAAGAAAGACCAACGTTGGGCGCTCACCAAGCACGTTCGACTTGGACATACGATTGCTGTCTTGTAACGTGAAACGTTCTTCGGCTAGGTGTTCAGCATTTCCTGAAGCCCAGATAAAAGTGTGGCCTCGAGGCTCGACACTGATTGGTTGTCAGGTGGGAAAGGAGGAGTGAGGTGCTGGACGCTGATTGGTTAACGGGGAGTTCATGTGACCAGAGGGTAAACCAGAAGGAGTGAGGTGCGAGGATGAGCTCGACCACCTGTGCGCGCTGAGGAAGAGTAGCTCGAGAGTATAGGAGGCCCTGGAAGAGCGCCATGTTTATCAGCCCGATTAGCGGTATTATCGGTTCATTCTAACAACAACTATCAAGTGCACACATGGCACGTGTTAAAACATCTGATGAAGAGCGCCGTGAACGTGGGCGTCTAGCGTCTGGAAACTCAGAGTATCGCCAAACGTTTGTGATGCTAGAACTTTTCACGTATGCAACAGAATTGCCTAGCAATTAGCCATATTTATTATTATTCATCTTTTTTTTTTTTTTTTTTTTTTTTTTTTTTACGAAAGAGGACAGCACAGATGATATTCACTCACACGGAAGGTTGGGCCTTTTGAGCGGCCTGACGGCGTTTTCGAGCTGCAAATTTCGCGTGTCGTCCGACTCTCGGCAGAGGGTGCCCCCGGTCACGTTCCAGATGAACTCCGTGTACCTGCGGCCGTATGTATTCTGTGCGTCAATATTATTTCCCATCATTGGCGAATGATGCCGTGACTTTTTTTTTTTTTTTTGGTGTGTGTGGGGGGGGGGGGGGGGATTGGTCATAATTTTACATGGTTTTAGAACAACATTCGGGAGTTTGCCATATTTTTGTTTATTGCAGAATTACCTTCATACTCAAGCTAAGTTCGATTTGGTCCTAAGAAACGTAAGTGAAGCGTAACCGACTGCCGAATACCTGCTCGGCAAGCTCCACCGGCCACGAAAAAAAAAACGGCCAAGACAAAAAAAGAAACAGGCTAGATTCCGGGACGTTTCGAGAAGGCTTCGCCAGCTGCAGAAAGTTCAAAACCAACCGCAAAAAAAAAAAAAGGGGGGAAAGGAAAGGAAACGGCCTACGAAACCAGAACGCGGCGACGCTGACCAGATACCACCTATGAAGTTAAGGCCTGCATCTTTTTCCCCAAACGTCACCTCTACTGAATCCGCGCAGCGCCACCTGGCTTGCGTCAGCATCGCCGACAGCTCGTCTTGCAGCCTCTCACAAGGAGCGCGAGGTAACCACGCAACGACGCCAAGACGAACGCGCATGCCGCTTTGCGGCCTGTATCGTCAAGCTCCAGAGCGTTTGCCGCTTGGGGCGGGCCGGAGATCCGCCAGAGATGACGTCATGAGAAGGCCTTGTCTTCTAGGTGATATCGCGTTGACAAGGCGTCGCTTGCTTGGAAGTCTGGAACTGGAGTCAGGAGCACGCTGCGTTGCTAATGAAACGCAATTCCGCGTATGACCGGTTTGATCAATAGATCTAAATAAAACAGAATTTTGCTTTAGTAGATACGAGGGAGCTGAGAACAGACTGCGCCACAAAAGCCAGCCGGTTTCGGTGAAGGTTCGTGCGGCCGTGTTTACCTTGAGACACGCGTGTAGATGCCAGGGAACCCGAGGCGGCCACAACCGATGCCCCATGACACGACTCCGACCTGGAGCCAACGGCCGTCCCCTCGCTTCAGCATCAGAGGTCCCCCGCTGTCGCCCTGCCAACGTGGACGACGCAGGTCATCACGGACAACATGCGCTTCGGCGGGGGCCGGCACGAGCGTCCGGCCCGCATGGGGCTGCCGAAACAGACACGCTTTTGCTGTGCATGGCAAGCGTACGTATTCAGTGAGGACATCAACCACGCAAACAGATGGCTTTCCTCCTCGATGTTGTCTCCACCTCTTTCTTGTTTTCGGGAGTTTGGGGACTGACAACAACAACGGAATCCTTGACGACAGCCAGCAGAGTGTGTAAATGACTACGTCGCGCTCTACGTCATGAGCACGCTACAAGGCTTTGTCCAAGGACGCCAGCGGAAGGTGACTCTCCCCCCGGTAAAACACGTCTGAAGGCGGGCCAGTAGTGGAGGAAAAATCTCTACTTCCGTTCAGCAAATGCTGTGAAGAAGCGTTTTATTTTAGGTGTGCCCCATGATGCGTTTTCTTTCGCAAGTATAGCGACAGGTGCATAAATACACGTGGCGCGCACTCCACCTAGCGCATTTAGCTACCAGTACGCCTTCCACTCAATGCTTGCAAGAAACACCGATCGCAAATGTTAGACACGGCAATAAAGACGAGACTAACACTCATGGAGGCTGCTTCCACAACCTTGAGTGGCACTAAAATACGTATCCAGAGCAACCCTATGCCTGCAAGTTGTATTTCAGTTTTATTTTCGTTTTAAGTTCCACGCTACATAGATGGCGCCAACAATTGCCACTAGTACAAGTGATCTACTGTAGCCAGGTGGCACCACTAGCCACCATCGGGCCCGTGCCCTCAGGCCGGTCGCCCCGGGAGTTTGAGCCCCATGTTGTTAACCCCTGATATAAACAGTACGGTTCAAGAACACCAACAAGTCGGACGTCTCTTTCTCCGTGTTGTACGGAACGGCGTTCCTGGAACGCGTTCTTTTTAGGAAGAACGAAGGAACGCTGCCGTTCCATTTTGCGTCGGTGGAACTGGAACGGGAACTACAAGAACAGAAGAAGGAACGGCGTTCATTTTTCTTCGTCCGGTGGGGTAATTTTTATTTTATTTTTAAAAGGGGAATTCTAGAAAAGTATTAAAACAATATCTTTACGAAGAGCAGGATCTCGTTAAGTTTTTTGTTAGGGTTTATTTTGTGGGGTCCTCGATTGGTAACAGAAGGGTGCAGGAGAGCTATAGTGATAATTGATTCTCTTTTCAGTGCCCGAGACTGCGGTACAGAAATAAAAACATTTAGTCGAAGGAAAAGACAGAAAAAGGGACGTCTCAAAATCAGCTACTTTCTTAGCTTCCACGAATCCTCATACACCCAGAAATCTCAGGTCGACTGCAGCCATCACTGAACTTCAATAAAAAAACCTACAGTTACAACAAAAGATAAGATTAAAAGACATCAAACGCATCTGTGTACCCCAAACATTGGCCAGATGCACAAGAATTCACCTTTATTCCCTCTCCACTTCTCCCACCTTCAAACTGGACAACAAATTCAACCTTCACGAAGAGGGACTGGTGGTTTTCAAGACTGACCTTCCAAAAGCCCTCCCCTCTTCTCCACTTGCTCGTCTTACGGACAGCAACATCGAAAAGCAAACGTTGTTTAGTTCGAACACGGGAGTTTGTTAGATTGAAACGTGTTAGGTTGTAAAACGCTCATGCAATGTGGGGCAACAGTACATTTCGCTCGTCTGCATAGCCCACCACAAGTATGAATTCGGCAAAACGCTGAGATTTTTAAAAGTGAATATATCAACAAATCAAACCTTGCTTTCGCTTGTTTTCTTCTTCTGGTGTCCTTCTATCCCGGCATTCAAATTTGTATGTAGCTATTTGATAGGATAGATAAAAAAAAAACTTGGTTTGATCTAAGTAAATATGGTAATTAGCAAAATACGAATGTAAGTTGAATATGTAACGTATTGTAACAATACGTTCCATTTTTTTAAACCGTAACGGGACTGAGTTTCTTTCTCGCAGATGGAACTTGTAACGGGAACGCGTCCCAAAAATCAAGAGGAACGAGGAACGAGCTTCCGTTCCTCTTTCTGAGGACCGTGTACAACACTGCTTTTTCCCGGGGCCTTTCCCGCGCCCCCGGGCTCCACCGGTCACCACCGCATCATCGGCATGTGAGACCCTCTCAGTTCCTCAGGCCCGCGTGGGCTCTGCTCTTCTTTCATTTCACAGGTTACCGATTTTACCACATTTTGGCGACGAGCGATTTATTACACTTTGGCGACAAGGTTAATTACAACACAAGTAAAGCCAGAATCATCAGACACTGCCAGGGTCGACTTGCTGGTGAATGTGGGTGTCTCTACCCGTGGTTAAAATAACCGCAAGGGGGATTTTGGGGTCCCGTGACCGGCTCCGTGTGGAAACAGCCACTGTAGTGGGGAGAAAGTACCCGATTCCGCTCAGCAACGTTAAGTTTTGCGTATCGTTTTCTTTTTTCTTTTTTTTTTTTTCGCATAAAACACGATTTTTGCTTAGAGATGGCTCCGCGTGCCACTCCTAAAATAGACAAATATCATGTATTACTCTTAAACCGCGGGCACAGTGCTAGTACATCATACAGAAGTCAATCTGCAGGCACTGTTTGAGGCATACTCAGGTACGAAGCAAATATCTGCTTCAAACCTGCTCGAGGCAAGCACCTTGCCTTTCGTATGATTAATGAGCAGTGCGACTAGGGCTCTACTTTTCAAGCATATATGTGCTCCGGGATACTTTTTTAGGGTGTCTCCGTCCAGCCTTCCTATAAATGAACACCACTGTGTGCCTTATTTACAACAGTTTGTTGGACGCGGTATGCAAAGTTGCAGTCCCTCATAAAGGCGGTTCGCTGCAAACATGATGACAGAACTATCTTCGGGCACACTTCAAGCAAGCGCTTCATACTTGTACTTCGAACTGTCTGCAGAGAGTTTCTTTGTGACGGGACGATCATCAAAGTAAGAAACACGTGTCCGCATGCGCACTGTTTTTTTGTATGATGTACATGAGCAGTGTGGTTGCGGCCTAAAAGCGTCACCTGGCAGGTGTCCTCCTTGTTCCCTCCTGCGCAGAGGTTGTTGTCGAGGATTTCCTCGCCCAGCTTCTCTCTGCACGCCGCCAGGCTCATGAAGGGCAGCTGGGCCAGCTTGAGCACGTCGCTGGTCTGGCTCACTGCGCTCAAACGAGGGCCAAGCCCCTGAGAACCAGCCCTCGGAGGAAGGCATCCGACGAGAGAGCTTGTTTAGCCAAATTGACGGGACCATTCTACGAGCAAGAAACACGCCTCAGGTAGCGTCAGCACACTGTCTTTTGTATGATGCATTAGCAGTGTGATCAAGGTTAGGCTCTTTTTAGAAGCGCCAGAGCCACCAAGGGGGGGGGGGGGGGGGGGAGCGTTCAGGGGCATCATGGGAACTGTGAGGGTGTTGCGCCCTTTAGCCAAGCCTCACCTAGTCGAGCAAGGTGGCGCTCACTAACGCCCGAACTGCAGCACCATGTTTAATCTACTCATGCATCCAGGCGAGCTAACGGTCTTCAAACTACTTCTAACATTGCTAAAACAAATGCCTTTTTCCTTTTTTTTTTTATCTGCGAAGGAAAATAAAATACATCAACCCTACTCTGTTCGCCCTATAATTTGATACTGCAACCAAAGCTAGAAGCGCGAGGCAGCCCCCGCTTCTGCTGTGAGACGTGCATTTCTAGCGCGAATGCTCGTTCTGCGGAAGAACGATTTAAAGCAGCGACCTGGGGGCCTATGTTGCGATTTTTGGACTCCTATGGCGACCAAAAGGAGGGAAGCGCCAAAAAGAGAAGCTTTAGGAAAGCCGAGTTTCAGCGGCGCCTCGTGGCGAGGCCTGAAACTCGTTTTTTTTTTTTTCGTCTTTTTTGTGGTGCATTAGGATGTGTTGGCATCTATGGTGTTGGCGGTGGGCGGGCGCAGCTCATACCATCAGGTGTTGGCTGCGCAAGCCAAAAAAACAAAAAAGCAAACTAATTGGACTCCTTTAGTAAGCTTTACATAGAGAAAAAACATTTTACAACGTGAACGCGCTTGAAACCAGAAAGCGCGATCAGCTGGTACGCGCTCACAGATAACTGAAGAACCCGACAAAATAGGAGGACCGAGTTTTTGTGCCGCTTAGTGAAAACGCCTGTCACAAGGCGGCGCTGAAACGCGGCCCTCAGCCGGGAGCAGGCTCTTCCAGAGGCAGCGCTCAGATGCCGTGGTCGTAAGTATAGAGTTGGAGCCTTCCTGCTTGTGGCATCGGTTGGAGTGGGTAAACGGGGTGTAGCTCAGCTAATTCCCGTAGCCAAAAACAAAAAAAAAAACACGTTGGGTGCGTGAGTGATATCTCGCTCTTTTGGCGCGTGGCCCTCGCGCGATGACATTTCCAAAAAACCTCATACGATCTTCTGCGCAGCAAGGACGAGAACAAAAGCAGAGAACAGAACACAACAAGACGCAACTTTCAACTGAATTTTATTGAATACGTGTTACGCTATTTATTGTTTCAACCATAGTCACAGTGACAACGAAACAACAAAAGCAAAAGAAAACCACCATCACAGAGCATAACTGGAAAATAACACTATCTCGTTCTCAGGGAAAACAATTCCTTCTCCGATAACACAATCGACAGTATAGCAACACACGTGTCTCCTAAATAATCAATGTGCTCGGCTTCTAGAAGCCGAGCACTTTGAAGGAATTGTTTTTTTCTGAGAACAAGATAGTGTTATTTTCCAATTATGCTCCGTGATGGTGGTTTTCTTTTGCTTTTGTCGTTTTGTTGTCATTGTGACGATGGTTGAGACTATAAATACCGGAACTCGTATTCAATAAAATTCAGTTGAAAGTTGCGCCTTGTCCTGTCCTGTTCTCTGCTTTTGTCCTCGTCCTTGCTGCGCACAAGATTGTATAAGATGTCAAACCAACTCGCCCAAACAACAACTCTTCTTGATTTCCAAAGAAGGACGGTGACCCATCCAGAGTGATGGCCCATCCAGAAAAGGGCATTGAACAGACGTGGTGTGATTGAGGGTTTCTCACCTCATGTGGGCAACGCAGTGCAGCACAGGGCGGTGGCAAAAATTTCCGTCTGCCTTACACAGGGACCCAACGCGAACGTAGGCAATCTGGTTCTCGGAGGCGGTACGGCGGTAGCAGCAAACGACGGAGCTGCGACCCTCACTGCTCCCATAATGCCTCACGCGTGCCGCTTGAGGGCGCGCATAATTTTCCAGAAAGATCTATTGGCAAATCAATCTGCACTCTTTGGTCGCGAGGTCATGCCAGGCGCGGGGGATTGCGAGATGTTTTGCCGCCGATCATGAATTCCCGTTAGCTAAAGGTTCCTCTGTGATCGTGTGGATGGTGCATAAAGAAGGGAGGCTTTCTACAAAAACACTCCTAGTTAGAACAAACATTACCAGAAATTTGTGTTTTCCCTTTATTTATTTGTTTAACTTTTAACCGATTTTGTATTCTTACACAAGTTGATGCGTATTTATGTCTTTTTTTTTTTTTTTTTTTTTTTTTTTTTGCTTAAAACTCGAAAGTCTACGGTCTATAGTTGCAGCCTTAGAAGGCCAGAAGGAAAATTTCGTTTATCACAGAGTAGCTGGCACACGCGGCGAATAGACCTTTCGGGAAATATGTGGCACCCTCGCCTACTTAACGCATTGTGACGTTCCCATGTACGGTACGTGAAATTACCCAGGAATCGAAGACTAAGCAGAACATCATTCAGCATTTTGCGATTGTGGGGCGCAGCTAGAAGGCAGAATGAAAGCAAAACAAACTATGTGATTACCTCCTTTCGTGTTCGCTTTTTATTTCGTTTGTTTGTTTTGATTTCATTTTTTTGTCATCATTTTTTGTTCATTTTTAATGATAAAAGAGAATCCCGCCTCCAAGATGTACGAAGCGTTCGAGTCGGCACGAGCGTGCATCTGAACTGTCCCACAATGAACCGTTTTCAAAAGTACGAGTCATCTACATAGTAGCTGCTTGCTGCGCCAATTACCTTAGTTGGGCATTGTTTGGTCACGCATTCTAAGCATGTACGCGACACAAGAGTTGCGTCAACGTTCAACCTCAACTCCGATCCAATCACAGGCTTCGTGCCCAAGAAATGGCGAACGCCAATGTTGCTTGATGGCATCTTCCGGAAAGATATATATTTCAAACTGACGTGTTCGCAAAGCGACGCGTCGGTCAAGAGCTCATCAGTGCAGACCTTCGGTGACGCGACCCCAGCCGATGACGGTGAAGAGCGGCTTGCCCTCCAAGGAAGTGTCGTTGGTCTCGATGCAGAGGGGCGACACGAAGTCGTGGAACACGATGGGTTCGGAGAGCACGAGCACCGCGATGTCGTGCACGTACGCCACTCCGCGGTAGTCCGGATGTACCCTGCACTCCTTGACGGTCACCGGCAAGGGCGTCGACGAGATCCGGTGGCCGCCGAGCACGGCACGCAGCTTCTGCTCTTTCTGCCTGGACGCGAGCAGAGAGGACGCTCCACTCTTCAGAAGACAAAAACTACCCCCGTTCGTTTGTCTATTCGTGGTCCGCCGTCATGACGGATCAGGGTAAAGAATATAAATCGAGACGATTTAAATCGTGATTAAATCATGATTTGAATCACTTCACTTCTACTGCCACAATATAAATCAATAAAAGCAAGAACAAAATCGCCAAAAATAGTTTCTGACTTAGCTTGTCTCTCATTTTATGCTTTCGATGTGCAATTGTTTTGTAACTATATTAAATAACCATCAAACAAGAACTATTGTAGCAGTTTGAACACGAGCAAAAAGCAGTGATCTTTGGAGCAAATCGAAACGTAAAGACTCTTTCTACCTTCCTCTTTGTACGACATTCACATATGGTGTTTAATTACAAGCAAATCATAACGCGAAAGAAAGCAGCAAAATAATGGAAAGCAACGCCATACTGAAAGCAAATCATAGCGTAAAAACTGCTATAAAGGATTGTTTTACGAACTAAAACTCTACTAAGGCGGGATTTCCGTCAATAGAAATTTATTCATTGAAGTGTACTTCGAATGTACATAAATTATCTCGTCCGCATTGTGGTCAATAATGTGATGGATTGATCAATCTATCTGCCATGTTTAAAAATACATCTAGCGATAAATAGGAACTATAATTTTCTAGCTAAAGTGATCTTAATTAAATTATTCTGATCTAAATTAAATAAATTTGATATATATCAAATAAGTCAGATTTAAATCAAACAAATTTGATTTAAATGAAGTAAGTTTTATTTATATAAAATAAATCTTACTAATTTAAATGCCAGCCTGTGACAAGCTCATCTTGTGGCCGGATCAGGATATTTTTCTTTCGCTAGCAAACACAAAGTGGTCACGGCGTTTTTTACGCTGCAAAACCAATCGGAGAAATTGTCTACTGCACATAGAAAGATCGAACATTCACCGTGGTGAAGTTTACCTTGGGAAATTTCAAGATGTAGGTATTTTCCTGTATAAAAAAACACACACAAAAAAACAAATAAACTTGCCAAGGTAGACAACGACCGTGTTGGCACACGATCGAGTTAGCGATGAATGTGACTCGTGGCGCCATCTCCCGATCGGAGCCGCTAGCATACAACAGAGTGCGTCGTCTACTCGCTGTGCCTATCGGGAGATAGAGTCTCATCAAGTTACATTCGTCGAAAGCCAACTCGGTCGTCCGCGAACACGTTTATGTTGTCCCACCTGTAACAAAACATAAGGCTGGCTCACACACTTTCGACTGCTTACGACCGTGCGCCTTCAAACCCCTTACGGCGATAGAACACAACCTCTACACCTTTAAGGGGGTGCTGGACCACTACCGAGTAGAACGCCGAGCCTACCCAGAGGCTCACAGCACTCTCAACAAGGCAGAATCCACCATCCTCCGTCAAGTCCAGACGGAGACCTTCCTCAACCCGGCGCAGTTGCACTCGTGGTACCCAGATACTATACGACCCGTCTTGCAGGAACTGTGGCGAGATCGCTACACTCCACCATATACTCTGGGGGTGTCCGGAGCTGCTTCTTCATTCGAAGAATAAGGAGTTCATCAAGCAAGCCAGGCAACCAGGCGCCTGGGAATCCTTCCTGCGGGATCCTGACCCCACGACTCAGAAAATTCTAGTCCAGCTGGCCTCGGACGCCGCCGGGAACATCGCGTTTCGTCTGTCGACCGAGGGGATCGCTTCGTCAAGGGTCTCTCCCTAAGAGAGACTCGGTTGACGCGGGGATCTAACAGTCTTGGACCCAATAAAGTTTACCTCACCTCACCTCACCTCACACTGGGAGCCGTGAAGCCCTTGCAGTTTCAGTATATTCCCTATTTTTATCGCGCATCCTTTTTTTTTTTTTCTTCCTTGGCTCGAAAAACTTTTGGCAATGTTAGAAACGACAGTTTCTCTTATGTAGTACGCGTCTATTTGATCCCTAAAATACCGCAAAACTTAGTAAAATGCAGTTCCAGGGTCACCTTATAGATGGCACTAGAGTGCCAGTGTGTTGTGTGTTCTTTCGTCTGCGAGAACTTGGTCCTAATTGGCGCAAGTATGTGTACGGGCATTTCCATACTATTGACAAATGACTCAGAAACTCAACAAGTTTGTGTCTTGTGACTTTATAAAACATATGCAAAATTCTTGCCAGCTATCATCACCATGCCACTAAGAGCCGCCATGTTGGGTGCTTTCACATCTTCCAGTTGTGGACGAGCCGCATCTGCATTTAACTCGGTTTTCATAATATTAGGACCACTTATTTCTGCACTCAATGGGTTGCTATTTAGTTTTGGTTCAATAAAAAAAAACAGAAAGATGGCTACAAAATTTAGGAAAAGGAATTGTCACCAACGAGGCCGCCAGACAAGTAGTGAACCTGGCCATTCTGGTCAGTGAACGACCTTTATTGAGGACGTTGTTTGAAGGGATTGTACTAGACTTGCAGCAGATGGTCATATTTTAGTTATGACTTTCGAATTTATTGGGCACAGGAACCCTCCAATATGGCGGAAATTTGATAATTGATCAGGAGTAAACTATATGGCGCTTCTTTTTGCATATGGCATATTGCAAGCATCACTGTAGAAGGCGTAGTCAGTGTAAAATCATATTGAATGTGGCAGTAGTATTCCTATGAAACCACATATGCTGAGTGGCACGGGACTGGATGGTGCGTGCTATGGGGATATGGCCTGAAGAAGCTTCCACTGGGTAGTGGAAAAAATAGTAGTGTCATGGCCTCCTCTATACTGACAAAGCCTGGCAGATCGCCACGAGACACGGCCGTTTAAAGTGAAAAGGTAGAGCGGCAGGCAAGAGCCACGTAACGGGCACCCCGCTGCGGCGAGGCACCGAAACACACTTGTCCCGAGCGATAAAATGTCCGCTTGTGCTTCTCGCGTTCCTCGGGCTACCGCTTTTATTCTCGTCGGGTTTGAAAACCACGTTTCGGGTCCTCGCCGTTGCAAAACCTGTGCGCTGACTACAGACTTCCCGAGAAATGCTCTGTGCTACCAAATCCTTGCGCTCCAAATATGCGACCGGGCACTCTCAGTGGCTCCGTCGTCGAACTGCCAGGCTTTGTGAGTATAAAGGAGGCTATGGTAGTGTGGTCTTTGTGCTTTTATTTTTTTTATGTCCTCTCTTCTTCGCTTGAAGGGCATTTCGGGAGGTGACTGCCAGTACTACATAGAAGACAGGGCCTGCGAATGACTAGTGAATCCCTGAGCCACCCCAAGTGGCAAAGCACACTAAAGCTCGCGACAGACGCGCTCGTGTTGGCATCGCCACGTGCCAGCGTACCACTCGTTGTGAGACGCTGTAAAACGCGCTGGCCTCGATGCTTACGCAAACTAGACGGCGCTGCGTGGGTCCACCAGTGATGACGTCTCTGCGTGTGTGTGTGTGTGTGGGGGGGGGGGGGTGCAGGCCTTCTCTTCTAGGTAGTATTACCCCCCCCCCCCTCACCCCTGGTTAGGTGCGTGGCTCTTTGTTTGGGCAGGCACTCACTCGGTGCAGCAGTGGGCGGCCGTGAGAACGTGCTGGGAGCCGATCACAGAGCCTCCGCCTACCAGTTTCTCTTCTTCGTCCACCAGTGCCACCTGCGCAGTTACGCATCTCCACTCAATGGACCTTTTCCACTAAGCTTCCGCGCGTACGTAAACCGCTTCCCTTGGCCTTGCTTCCCGCTGTCCTCATTTTCGAAGGGCAAAGACCAACCTATTCAGCACGACCTAATACTGACCCCCACAGATGAATCTGCCAGCGCGCATCTTGTAGTACATGACCGCGGCCGCAGCGTTTCGTCACGACGCGCCGCAGCATAAAGGCTTTTTTTTTTTTTTTCCTGTGGTATCCGCATATCAATGGAAGGCGCGCAAGGCCAACACCACGTAGGTGGTGTTGCCAAGGCGCATCGGCCTCATCTGGTCCTGACCTGCTCTCCTCGCAGGCTTTGTGGGATCGAGTCGTCTGTCGGTGGTCGCGTGACAGATTCATCATTAGAGGCGCCGGTTGCCAGCACAGTGGCTATTTATGGATAATCCGAGAACGTGCCTCATTTTGACAATGGCACAAAAGCTGAGGGGATGTTACACCGGGCGACGGCGGTAGCGGAATCTGAGCCTTGGGCCTCGGTACCTCGGAGGCGGCAGGTTTCTAATTTGTCTGGGCTACCTCCCTGGAGCCTGATGCTTCGACCCCTGTGAGCAACAGCAGCACCATGCTCCATTATATTGTGTGGCTGCCCTCCATTGCTGCCGGGGAGGGAATTTTGTTTCTCCCACAAAAACAAGGGTAAAAGAGAAGCTTTTTCCCGCACTGTTCCTACAATCTACCGCGGAGCACAGATTACTACCCAATGCAAAGGAACTTTTAACCTTGAAGCTGCGAAAAAATAGTTTCGATTGCTGGCGTCCGGACAGCCACTTCGCGGTCTGCCCGGGTCGCTCGTCCGCCTGCCCACCCGTGACGTACGCGGGTAGGGAAAAGTATGCCTGTTTCATTGTTGCAAAGTAGAGGGTAGCCTCCTGGAACCCTCGCGGCCGGTGAAACATAAAAAAATTCAATAACTTCGCGGAAGACTTTTTTGCTTTATCAAATATTTTGGCTATCAACTGAGAAAAGGTTATTGATGCGGTCTGCCAATTTTCAGCCAAATCGAAGACTATCAAAAATCGGCGGGTCGGCGCACAAAAACGCGTTGGTTTGGATCGCGCTTTACCAGCGGCCGGGTCGCTGCGTGCGCTGCGCCTCCATGAAGAAAGCTTCTCTGGTGGCATTTTTTTTTTCAATTACGCCGCACGAGATCCAATGGGAGCCTCGTTCCTTGATGACGCGCACCACCCAATGCGAGCATAACCCATCAAAATCGGCTGCTGGGAAAAAGGATTTAAGGTGCCGTTTGACCAACGTTCGGCGTGGTTTCAAAACGGATGACGTCGGTTCGCTCCATGGGACAGTAACGCTTCCGCAATAAAAAGGGCGGCGAGACGTCACGTCGGGTCGCTCGCTGATTGGCTCAAGCGAACGCGTCGAGGGAAAAATTGGGCCCAGACACGTCGTCTCCCTGCGTCGTCCTCCCCGGCGCGCGACCTTTTTTCAATACAAAAATAAGCGTAAAAGACTCAACTCACGACTCGCGTTTTCCCGCAGTGTGAATGCGCCCTAAGCCGGGCGAAGCGTTGAGGTTGGGCGGCTGCATGCTGAAAAACAAGTTTGTTGCTCGTCCGCCGTTATTCGCCGAAAAAGTGTTCAAAAACCTTGTGTAAACGGTCGTAGCTGCCTTTGGAAACCCGTGAAAATATTTACAAATGCGCAGCACCGCAGGAAAAAGGCACAAGTCGTCGAACGCAGGCCACGCAGTCAGGCGGTGTGATGAAAGTACATGCCTTAGCACGCCGAAGTGCTGCGTTTCTGCCTGCTTGGATACCGATAAAAAATCGACGCCTATTGGATGTGTTATCACTTCGAAAAGGTTTCGCTAGTGGAACGTGCGCGAAGATGCATGTGCCTCTGGTGCACACTTTTACTTTGCTTCGACAACTGTATTTGTAACTTGAGGACTACCAAAAAAAGCGTAAAACTTAGACGAAGGACGAGTGAGAGGAATGTACACGACAAGCACTGACTTACAGCTAAATTTTTATTAGGAAGAAAGATGAAACCATCGGAACCACCAAAACACCGCCGATCTTACCAATGTGATTACAATCTTTCTTCGCAACGACACATGTAAGTAATCTCGCTGCCAAACAGGGCAATGGACGGCCATCTGACATTCATACCCGGTGCGAGGAGGGTATACGTGTGTCATTTCCTTGTCCATTGCTTTGTTTGGCGGCGAGATTGCTTACATCTGTCGTTACGAAGCAAAATTGTAATCGCATTGATAAGATTGGCGGCGTTTTGGAGGTTCGATGGTTTCATGTTTCTTCCTAATAAAAGTGCAGTTGTAAACCAGCGCTTGTCGTCCTCTCGCTCATCCTTCGTCTGAATTTTACGTGTTTTTTTTATTTTTTTTTTTTTTGTAATGCATCACCAACTTGCCCAAGTTACCACTCTTATACAAGTAACTTGAGGAACTCGCAGACGAGAAACGAGTTTGAATAAGTGGCGTTCGAAAACCTACCTCCCGTCTTGCACTGCCTTGCTCTCTATCTGTGTTGCCATGTGACGTAAGAAATACAAATTCATTCGAAATTATTTCGAACATTGCCATGGTTGATAGTACATGATAGCAAATACATTTTCTTTTCTTTATTGATAGCAACCACTGATCAGCGATAAAAGCCCGCCAGAACAGCTGGACAATCCAGAGCTCTGCGACCGACATGTATGCAGCAAAGACATGTACACGCCACACAGCTTCAAACTTTTCCCGAAGGGTTAACACATCCACACGGCGTCGATTCTTGATCGGTATTCAAGCATGCGGTATCCAAGGCATGTCCTTTTATCACGCTGCTTGAACGCTGACTTGCCTTCGACGAGTTGTGCCTTTTTTTCCTGCGATGCTGCGCTTTCGTAAAAATTTAAACGGGTTCTCAGAGGCGGCCACGACCGTTTACACAATGTTTTTAGAAACTTCTCCGTCGAAGAACGGCAAACGAGCACAAAAATGTGCCTTCTAGCACGCCGCCGTCCAGCCTCTGCAACGCTTCACCCGGAGGACTTTACGCAGGCCCAAGATGGCCAATTCGGAACTTCCCGTTGCAACACTTGCGCAGCAGCGACAAAGTGGGGCAGGGCAGCGTGTACCCGACGGGTTACAAGAAGTTTGATGGTGTGAAATCAGTGCTGGGGTAGCTTACGCCAGCAAAAGTAAAATATCAAGCAAAATACTGTGATATTTAGGCTTCCCTTCGACTTGCAAGTTGTGCATATGACATCACCTCACCGGAGAGCACGGGAAAAACAGAATTTTGTTTTTTGTATACCTTATTTTTGCAGTTTTTTCAATAGCTATTTTGAATTTGGAGAGAATAAATCATGCCGGGACAAGTAAAGCCTGTGTATTCTGAATCCGTGCTTTGTCTGGGTAGCTCGAGAGACCGCCGGAGCTGGAAGAACACTAGGTTAGGTCATGGGTCAAATGGGATTACTTGCGTCGACCCAAAGCCCTACTATAAAGCGAGCGTGTAAGAAGTCGGATAGCACCCACCATCCAGGGAAACCGATGCGCCGGCTTAGTTTCTTCTCCACCCAGAATCCTTGACCGAACAGCATTCTCCACACCACAGCCTGAAACCCAAAGGACAAACCGCGCTCCATTACATGGCTGGCATTGACGTCACATCAGCCGTCGTTGCTCCAGACTATGCTCCGGATGCCCCTACCTTCTGCAATATGCGTTTGGCACCATCGAATTTATTCTTCTCTGGAAACCTTGCCGAGAAGAACAAATTCGATGGTGCGAAATGTATGCTGCACAAGGTACGGGCACAGGAATGGTAAGGAGCGAAAGCGGCTGGTGCGGTGCCTTACGACGTCATGTGCAAGGAATGTATTCCCGCCAGGCGGTTAGCGATATCGACTCCGTTAGAGTGCCTCAATGTTGCTTGCTTGCTGGAACATTGAGGCACGACTCCGATAAGGCTGCGCTGCTCCGTTCAACAACTGCGAGGTGTCGCGTACATGGAGAGGCATAAATAACCCAATACCACTTAGAAGGCGAGGCCCGTGGATTACGTCATCGTTAGCACCACTCAGCTTGCGTCAGCCTCTCCGCCAGCACGTCTTGCAGCATGCCAGGACGAGTGCAACGCTATAGCACGCGGCATCGCCGAAGCGCGCGCGTCTGCCGAGCTTCAGCGTGTTTGCCACTTGGGGCGGGTCGGGCACCCACGGATGATGACGTCATGCGCATGCCTTGTGTTTTAGTTGGTATTGCCTAACCGCCTTAGCGTGCGCTGGTGTAACAGGGAAGCTGCATGCATAGGGATGTCTTACTGCAGTTCTGTTGAAACACGTAGTTTTTACCGCAGTCTGAAAAAAAAAAAGAAAACATAACCGGAATTAAACGAGGTTGAAAGGTGCACTGCAATAAGCAGTACAATTTCTGACACTTTTCTATGGGGTGGCCGTACATCCCAAGTAGCACAGTTCTCTGTGCCAAAATTTTGTGATGCGTCACATTGACAAGGAGACGTTCAGCTGGAGGTTTCCAGCTGAACGTAGAGGGGACAAAACGAAGAAGATTAAAAGAGACACATACTGCTGGACTATCAACCATTTACCGAAAATCTTTTTAGTCTACACTCATGAATTATACTGTTGTGTTCCCAGGGGTAACTTCTTCAGTGTGATCTTTGATGGATAGCGTTAACATGTTCCCGACTTGGTTGTTCACATGGGGCACTGTTTGAAGATACAGCTTTTGTGAACGCTAACCATCAAAGATCTCACCAATGTAGACGCTACCCCTTGGAACGTAACAGTATTACTCATGACTGTAGATGAAAAAGATTTTCAGTAAATGGTTGATAGTCCAGAAGTGGGTGTCTCTTTTTCTCTTCTCTTTCGTTTTTTCCCTCTACGTTCAGTTCCTTCAAAAGCATGTCAAACCAACTAGCTCAGCTCCAGGCAGTCACAGATTGACGTCACTAAGTAATAGGTACCAAGTAGCTCAACTTAAGCCTATGGCCAAAATTTCTGTTTTGTCTGTCAATTTCTGGCTTTGAAAGCCCCGAAGCCAAGGCACATAAACAAACTTGTTTGACCAGGGTCGGGGTATTTCGGCTCTAAGTCGACAAACAATTGGGCGCGAAAGTTAGGCTTCGCTTTTTAGATTTCTGGTTATTATCTGGCCTCTTTGGGACTCAGTTCGTTTCCCCCTGGCAACTTTGGGCCTAGATTGCCAACCAAATGCCAAACAAGTTTGTATTGTTTGTTCATACCAACGTTACTAAACCACTCAGTTGGGAAACTGCCATAGAGACTGCTTTGAAAAAGTGGCCCCGATTTATCCACGAACATCGAGCTGATGACGAACACAACGCCACCATTTCTCCCTGCACGTTACTTCTCTTTTGGCTTTAATTGGCCATTTCGGCGCCGAAACAGATACAGCGGAAGAGGTTACAGGAGTGCCCACACCCCGGTCTCCCCAGCGGACGCACCGCGTATACCGAAGTTAAAATGCACCTAGGTCGGGACGCGCTACCTGAAAGCACCGCTGAGGCATGGTAGTATAAAAACAATATTAATTGTGCCGCAAAACCTTGCAAACTAAAGATTTTAAAAACAGCACGCGCCCTTTATTTTGTACTAAACTCACACAAATTTCATACAAAAAAAAAAAGTCTTTTCCGTATGTTTTTACGCAAAAACAGGCTTTCTAAAAGCTGAAGGTGATTACAGTACAGACAAACGATAAAGAGTGGCGCTGCTGTCGTATTTAGCTCGGTCTCTGTGGACGCCAGCGGCCCAGGTTTCGACGGCCAGTTTCCCAACTGAGTGTTTTAGTAACGTTGGTTTATACTGAGAACTAAATTTATGTAAAATTATACGTTTTCAGCTTTTAACTGGGCGATGCAGAGATTTCTGTACTTTTACTAAATAGCGCTTGCTACTTGACATTCATAACGTATAAAACACACGTTGATATTTTTTTTCTCTAGCCCAGTCGCAGAAAAGATATCTGGGAAAAACGAGCAGAATTCAACCCCTTACCTCGCACTGAGAGTAAGTGGCCATGTTATCTAGAGCCAGTTATATGCCTCCAACATAAAAATTAAAAACGAAAACATTTTTTTTATTTACTTTGTTTAAAGCGCATTGAACTTGAACGAAATTTGAAAACGCACCATGTTATATAAGTTTCTTCTACAAAAACAAACAATACAAACGTATATTGCATATGGTTTGGAAAGCAATGAAGTTTGTTGTATGTGGCGTTCGTATGAGTGAACTGCTTTAAAAACTAATTTAATGAATCAGAAGTTTTGATCAAAATTATTTGCAGAGATGAGCTTTGCAATATAAAAAAATATCTAGGCCCTAAATTATAATCATAAATTTAAGTGCTGACTGTGAGCCTTGAATAGACGATCCTAGAAACCTACTGCGGACCTTTCGCTTATGATTTTGGATCGAGCGCGAATAAAATATATCACAGACACCAATCGTACAAAATGGTTCCTGGTCCAGCTCGGAGCACGTGGAGCGAAAGCTCCCGCTGCAGAACCCAGGATACTGGGTTCAATCCCCGCCCCTGCCCGTTTCGATCTGGATGAGCATCGTACCGGCGTGCGGTCGTGTATCACTACTGTGTGGTGCACGTTAAAGACCCCAGGCTAGCGGTTGTACTGCACTGGCTAAATTGCTCATCTACAGCTGGGAGACTCGTCGCCCTTGGAGGCAGACCAAGTTCTAGGCTGTATAAACATACACACAACCTAATTTTTTTGGTTCCTGGTCCTTTGAGATTTTATTTATTTAAAACTAAACGTGTCTGAACTTCCATTTATAAAGCGTTGTCCTTCGCGCGATATGCGCAACAGCATAAAACGGTCTTTCAAGATTGACCGGGACGTTTACAACTACATAAGAAACGACAAATCCGACAAGCGTAGAACTACGTCCTTTTTTAAAAGCATTCCTCGTCCGCGTCCAGGCACCGCTGTCACCATTTTAGCAGATCCCTGATTCCATTGGCTTTGAAAGAACCGGGCTGCATATGAGTGCAGTCAGGCACGTAGCCAGGATATTGTTTCTTTGGGGGGGGGGGGGGGGGGGGGGGGGGGGGGGGGAGCCGTTCATTACAAAATGCTGTATGAGGGGGAGGGGGGAGAGGAGGTCCCAGCAAAATGAAAGATTTCGGGGGGGGGGGGGGGGGGTACTGGGCCCCATGGGCCGCCCCCCTGGCTACGTGCCTGACTGCAGTGACATGAACGTGCCCCTCGCCAAACTGTTGACACCATTCGTACATCCCGTTGTCCGCAGCATATCGTTTATTCATCATACTGTGCTTGCAATCTTCTCAAAATGAATGATAGTTTAGCTTTCTCCCTTACCAGAAATTCGCACCGCTGCTCCACAGCTACAGAGTCCACACACATTGCGCGCCGCCATGATAGCTGCACGTGCTGCGCGTGCGTCAAATACGTCCTTCTGGGAGCAGGATGGATTACATGAACTTCGTCCACACGTTTCATCATGTTACACTTGTACAGCGATTTATTATGGAAAAACGTCCCGGTCAACCTCTAATGACCCTTGTAGAAAAATTTTAAGAATACTAAAAAATACGAAGCTACCCCACTGCCTGAAAAACGTGAAAGCTACATTAATGCGGGTATGTGCCAATGAGTTATACGGCCATGGTGATATAATATAAGGGGTATCGCACTAAGTGGGTTATTTAACTAAAATTTGTTTATTACACTTTTTTAAACATTGAAGAGAAAGATTTGGTTACAATTTAAAATTTGCTAAGCGTCAGTAGAAACCATATTAAATAGACTGCAACACCAGTTACGCTAATATTGCAAAAACGCGCACGCGTTTTTTTGTATTTTTTTTATTCGCGTTTTTGCATTGTTAGCATTGCGCCCATGGCACAGGTGGTAACTTTAGAGCACGCTTCCCACGCACTCCAAATTTTCCTAAAACTCACTTATTTGGTTGTTTTCAATTACCTTCAGCAAGTTTTTAATTAAAACCATAATTTTATATTCACCAATTAAAAGGTTAATTAACACAGTTTAGTGAATTATTGGACTTATCATGACGACTAGCCCCCTAAATTATATCCATCGGGACATATATAACTCACCTGCACAGATCTTATTAGTGTAGCGTTCACGGCTCCTTTTGAAACAAACCTTTAAAACCAACAGGAAACGTTCTGTACAATATTTCTAAGACTCAAGCAGCATCCAACAGACCATACCAGAGAAGTCAAATTTATGTGAACAACCCATCATGCTGAATTTTTGAAGACACGGTAGCGCTCAAAGAGAAGGACGAAAGGAGGAGAACTGGGCGCTGCACGCACAGTGCATGAAGTCCACAGTGCACGGTGTCCATTTCTCCTCCTTTTGTCATTGTCGTTGATCGCTACGATATGCATTCTCAAATTCAGCACCAACTCGCCCAACAGTCAGCGCTGTTCAGTTCCATCGTGATCATGCGGCTTCGTCAGCTCACCGACATGCTCGCTGCCCGCTACCAAGATGGCGCAGACGATGATGACCTCGCTCAAACACACCATGGTCAGGCTCTATGAGCTCACGTACGCAGAAGCAAGGACATGTGCCAATAGTCACACAACGGTGTCGGCCACTTCACAGATCTGGACAGCTGAATGTCTCCCAGCCTGACAAGGCACGTTTGGCTCCGTGCACAGGGGACAACATATGGTACCTGAGCGTCGTCCATTTGTGGGCAAGCACAAAGAGCCCAACGCCAGCTGTGAGACGGAGCAAGAAGCAATGGCATTTCGTGAAAGCGCTGATGTCGAACGCGTAAACCGGAGGTGCGGGATGAAGGCGTCTGGTCCCTGCAACCTTCAGCAGGACGGACGATAAATTCAAGGCAGTCACGGCAGTGTTCAAGCGTGCGAGCTGACAAGCCTGTATTGGATGCTTTAGAAGTAACCCGACTTATTTCGTTATTCCATGCATTATATGTCAAACGTTCACGTTCAATTCTATCAATTTATTTACGTTGCTACAACGGCCGCAATACAGAGACTTCAGATGAGGGGCGGGATAATGAAATACACAAAAAATTGTTTCAATGGCGGCCCTAAAGGATAAGCTGGAGCACTTTTCAATGATTCTGAGTTATGAGCGGACTTTATAGCTTTTCGTCTTATGAATTCAGTGATGGTACTTTGGCAAAAGTAAACTTAAACCGTATTTATGTCGAAAAATACGTGCAGCCATTGCCGCGGGGCATGCGGTGAGCCTCATTGCCCCCAGTTATCTGTCCAAAGCCTCGTCCTCATAGGCATTACCGAGCCAGTTAAGTGGTGAGCAAAAGTTATTGATCCCGTCGATGACGTCACCTATAGTTTTCTCTCCGTTCTCGCGCTTT